GGATAGACATTTCTAACCCAGTGAGTGTCAATGTTTACATTTCATTTGAAATTTGAATAAATACAATGAAATCATACTCAATAGGGTGAGTAATGGCATCCTACGTGAGGCAGATCCTCTACAAAATAGAAATGATATTATTTGGAAATAGTGGGCAGGTTTCTACATGAAAAAATAAAATATAATAATCAATCCCCAGTCTCATGAATTATGTTCCTAAAAATCTTGCACAAGAATTCTTGGTTGAGGTAAGAAAATAAGATTAGGGGCCTGAGGGCAGAAAAAAACCGGTGTCTACCTATTCTGCATAATAGTTTCACTAATTTAAAAACAATGAAGACAACTCATTAAACAAATAAGAGATTGATGTTTTTCATATTTTTAATTAGTAATAAAGCACATAATCGTTTAACTTTCATTTACCTTCCTTGGTTCATTGGAAACCTTTCAGAATTCCACTCCCTGCAGTTTCAACAAAATGCTTATAAATCCATTTTGCTTTGCTCTCAACAGTATGTTTACTTTAAGGCATAGTTTTCTGCAGCACAAACAGCTAAGTTCTCAGGCATCCTGGCAGGAAAGGCCTGGTGGTCTTGTTTTTAAAAAAACATCAGCCATTAAAAATCCTCTGGAGCACAGTTCTGCTATGAGTTAGAATCGCTATGATTTGGAGTCGACTTGTAAACAACTGGTTTGGGTTTTATCGCTGTTACTATTAGCATCCAGAAGTCCTGGTGAGACACTACAGAATAATGCGCTGGACTGAAAGGTCGGTTTGAACCATGAAGTCGGTGGTTCAAACTCATCAGCTGCTCCTCAGAAACCCTATACAGGGTTGCTATCAGTTGGAGCCCACCCAATGGCACTTAACAACTACAATTAACACTCAAGTTCTTTCTAAATCTAAAGGAGCTCAGAATTAGTGCATCTGGAATTCTCAAAATTAGGAAAATACACAGGTTTTTTTTTCCATTTGCCTATATAAAGGAGCTCTGGTAGCATAGTGGTTACGAATCGGGCTGTGAAGCGCAAGGTCAGCAGTTCGAAACTACCAGCCGCTCCACGGGAGAAAGATGAGGCTTTGTGTTCCTGTAAAGATTTACAGCCTGGGAAACTCTGTACAGGGTCGCTATGGGTCAGAACTGACTTGATGGCACATAACAATAACAACATAATAACATCAATAGGAAAAAATTATAGAGTTGATTGTAACCGTGGCAAGGAAACGATATACAACAGGATCATTGTGAAGCTGATGTCCTCCCATGTAAACTATCACATAATTCACAATAAACCATTAAAAAAAGAGAGAGAAGCAATCTCGCCGTCTTCCCTTCTAAGGAGCATTCTAGCTGGACCTCTTCAAAGACAGATTGGTTTGTTCTTCTGGCAGTCCATGGCACTTTCAATATTCTTCACCAACACTATCATTCTAATGCATTGATTTCTATGGACCTTCCTTATTCACTGTCTAACTTCTCCATGTATACGAGGTTGGTAAAAGGTGAGGCTTTCTGCTCCTGCAAAGATTTTTAGCCTCAGAGATCCACACAACCACCAATTTGGATTTTTAGTGACAACTAAAAATACCATGGTTTGTGTCAGGAGAACCTTAGCCCTGAAACTGACATCTTTGCTTTTTAACACTTTATAAAGAGGCCTTTTGCTGCAGATTTATCTATTGCAATAAGCCATTTGACTTCTTGGCTATTGCTTCCATGAGCATTGATTGTGGATCTAGGTAAAATAAAGTTTTGATAACTTAAATCTCTAAAAAAAAAAAAAAATTACAGAGTTCAGTTTGCCTATAATGACATTTATAGGCAAAGGACATTACGCTTGGAAAAGTGGAGGGGGGGTCAGTGAAAAAGAGGAAGACCCCCAATGAGTTGGACTTATACAGTGCAAACAGCAATGGGCTCAAACTTAACAACTGTGAAGATGGTACAAGGCCAGGCAGTGTTTCATTCTGTTGTGTACAGGGTTTCTGTAAGTCAGAACTGACTCGATGGCACCTAACAACAACAACAACATGGCATTTGCTATAAGAAGAAATAGAATATAGAGTGAAATTTCTTAACTGTGTGTAACCCTAAAAAGTCTTAATGTTTCCCAAATCCATCTGAGCAATACTGTACTTGGTTTAAGGAAACAAGCATACTCTTGAAAGTATTCATAAGCCAAACTTTTAAGAGTCAAGTCACATTTTAGAGGCACTAGGAGAGTTTGGTATGGAGAGGCATATTCTTGAATATCTAATGGATTTTTCTAGGCCAACAGCTTAGAGAAGGCCAATCAAGGGCATCTGTGCGCAGCAACAGAGTGAAAAGCAAAACTATTTGGATACAGGGACTACCAGTAAAATCACTGGGACCTTAGCCCCCAGATTCTTTCCCAGGTGTTCTCAAATGTGTTTCTTAAGCCACCACAGTGTCTTCAGCAATCCTGTGGAAAGAAGCTCTCCCTTTGTGCATCTATGGACATCATCCCTCCTGAAGTATCTGTTCCTCTCAGCATCACCTGCCAGCATCACTCTTGACTTATTCTTGGAGCATTCTGCAGTCATTGCCGACATATTGGAGTGGAACTGGAGGGGCAAGGAAATTTCCTCGATCCCCTAGCCTTGAACTTTGCAATCATGTTCTAACTTAGTCTTTCTTGATAGAGTTCTTTGAACTCTTCACGATTCCTCCCTCCTGAGGAAGATGACACAAGTCCAGGAAGGAATGAACAAGCAAACCATTTCAGGGAACTTGAACTATGTTGCACTCAAAATGGAAATGAAAACCAAGTCTGTCATTTTATATACAAAATCCCTGGGATCAAGTTTTGGAATTCAGACTTCATCAAGTTTTAGAAAGGGTAAACTGGTGCACTTACTGTATATTATACAACAACTTCAGAAGGATCTGGGGCAGCACACTGTAATCAAGCACAGTAATATATCTGCAGTGAAATACATGAATATTCACACTAAGTGAGATCAATAATGACTGTAAATAGCCTCCTTCAGTTCTTATCATGTGTTGCCACCAAATGAGTTCATTTAAGGTTAAATTTTACTGCTAAATGACTCAAGGTTAAACACGAAAAATCTTTCATTTACAGAGCTCTTTGGGTTTTGGAATTGTGGCTAAGGAATTGTTGATGTGTATTGTCATTGATTAAGTAAAGTGACTAAGAGACCCAGTGCGATTCATTGCTCTACCACTTTGTAGAAGTCAAGTCTGCAACATATGGGTAAGTTAGAGAACTTTGTGTCTTTCCTCCCTCCTGTTTATGAGCCATTTTGGGCCCTTTTTTTCACCCCTTATGACTCCTTAACACTCTAATAGATTAGACTCTGGGCACCTTTTTGAAGCTCCTTTATCTGGGTATTATTTGTAGTGCCTGCTCTCCATTCCTGCTTCTACAGTTCTCTAGTCCCCTGGTCTGGGGCTACTGAGCCCCCTCCTATGCATTGAGCATCATCTTCAGATTTGGGATCAGTGTGCTCCTCTCTCCAGGTCAAAAGCTTGCCAAGTTTCTGATGACATCACTCACATCACACCTCCCATCTTGAGCCTTGGCTAAGGTTACTGTGGTACCTTGAATTTACTTGTTATGGCTTTTCTATCCAAAGTCTTTTTGATTCCCACCAAGTGATTGGGTTTTTTGTTGTCGTTAAGTAGCATCAAGTTGGTTCTGACTCATAGTGACCCTGTATAGGGTTTCTGAGGATGACTGGTGAGCTTGAACTGCTGACTTTTTTGTTCAAACTGACCTTGAGGTAGAGTGATTGGGTGGGACCATGCAAATAAGGTGTATAGGACTCTAAAGCTGGGATTGGTTAATTATACCATTCAGCTAGGTTTAAAAGGAGCCATCTCAGAAGTAGGAACCGATGATTCCAGGACCATTAAGAAGAAGGAGCATGAATGGAGCATGAGATCCCTACCTAGAAAAGTGGTGAAAGCAGAAACAATGGCAGAGGCAGTGGCATGGAAAGACAGAGCCACTGCAGGCTCTAGGCTCATAGACTTAGTAAAGTTGAGTGCCTATGGGCAAGAGACTGGCTTGCAGAATGTGTCCTGTGGGCATTCATACATTCACTAAAAGAGCTTTGCAACATTTGTCTGAGCAAGGCAGTGGCCATGGGGCCACATGGCTGAGAAACTGAAAACAAGAATGAGGCGTGTTTGCAGAAAAGAAGCGTTCCTGACTGAAGAACTGCTGCATTCTCAGCTGTTTCTGAATTGTACCCTGTGCACTTCCCTAATAAACCCCACAATTATGAGTACTGTTATGAGTTCTGGGTGGCCACTGAAATGGATTATTGAACCCAGATGTGAAGCAGAGAGTGCTGTGGGAGAGATGGTTGACATCAGAATAGGGTAAAGAAGGATGTAAGATAGAGGCATGTCTGACCTCCATTTCAAAGGAATTGGCCTTGGACTGGTTTTGAGTCTGATTCTCTTTCCCCCTTGTAAAGCCAGCAGAAGTCAGACATGGCCCCACATGGTTTTTGGAGTTCCATACCTTGGTGCCCCAAGCCTAAGACTTTCCTTTGTCCTGTCAATGACCTTGGGATTTGGTGCCCTGCTCTCACACCGCCAATCCTATAGCAAAGCCCAACTTCCAACTTCCAAAACCTCTGTCAGAGGGTGCAGCCTTCTATTTCTTCTCTGTTCAGTGTTAGTGCCAGATATTTTGATGCTGAGTCTCCTTTCTTCTCCTCCATTATACAAGAAAAGGTGAAATATTTGCCCTAAGACAGAGTAGATTCTCAGATAAATGTGACCCATATCATCGGGAGGACTGATTATAGCCAAAGGTCAAATGGAACTCATTTTGCAGATTCTGCACAGGTTTCTTCCATCATTTACTGGAACAAATCCTCTGTCCAAACGTGCTAGTAGCAGAACAACTTCAAGTGCCAAGTAAATTCCACAGCTTGGCTTTCTCCAATCACTGTTCAAGGCCTTGCTGGATAAGCAATTTTCAGTAGAAGAAATACTCACTGTGAAATAAAATGGTTGAATTCCTTACACCATTTTTCTGGATGAAGTAAAGTAGGTGGAGGATTTCTGAAAAACAAAAGGTTTTTTCTTTAGAAAAAGAAAAAAGAGTTCAGTTAAAAGCAACATATCAGCTTGTTTTGATTGATAGCATCCTAAATAGCTCTAATAAAATCCACTCTGTTTCTTCCTGAGCAGGAATCATTCATTGTAGTGCCAGACCTATTCATTCACTCATTCGTTTTCATTGATTAAAGTCCTACTATGTTCAAGGCTTTCTACCAGCACCTAATCAGGAATACTCTTCAGGGGTTAAAAGGGCAAGGCAAGAACTCTAATAACTATAACTAAGAGCTTATTGTTACTAGCACCATAAGAAAGCCATAAATATAGTGCTAGTGGCAAGGTCAGTGGTTCAAGCTTACCAGCTGCCCTTGAAAACTCTATACAGGGTTACTATGAGCTAGAACAGACTCAATGGCACTTAACAACAAACAACAGGGGCTTTAGAGAAATAGACTTTTAATTTTAGAGGATTTTCAGATCAGTATAATACTATTTGAATTAATTATATGATATATTTAAATTATACTCATTAGTCATATTTTTAATTGTTTCTGGTGTCAACTTCTGTAATACACTCAGAAAAGAGCAAAACAGTCATATCAGTGCCCACACCTAAGAAGTTTTTAGGTAGAAAGAGAGACAGAGATAAAACTATCAAGGTCCATGAGAACTAACTAGGGAACATTGGAAAGAATCTGAGGTAACCAAAGGCAGGAGGAAGCAGAAGGAAAGAGACCTGAATTTGATTGGATATTCACTCCAAAGAGATCCAGTTCTTAAACAAAGTGACTATATTACCTTTACTTGACAAGATATATATATATATTTAAGTCACAAATCAGAATAGGTGCTTAGAGGGAAATTTAAGTTCAATAAATGGATAAGATACATTTCTGTACGTTTGAATTTTGATTCCATATTTGTTAAACTTTCTTATTGTGAGTTGAGTAAAGGTTTACAGAGAAGATCATCAGTTTTACATTCAATGAATCATACACTTCGTTTCATCTCAATGATTGTAATCCCCTCCATGCAACATTGTTTCCTCCTCATGGATCCTCTTTCCATTCCACCCACCGTCTCATCCCTTCTCAACTTTGTCCTTAGGTAAATGTTGCCCTTTTGGTTTTGAATGATCGACCATTCCATGGTGAGCATACCTTACTAGTGCTGTCCCCACTATATACCTATCTACTGCTTGAGTGAAAATTGGGCCACGAAGGTAAGTTACTTTACAGACCTGAAGAGTGATTAAGGGCCATAGTATCAGATTCCTTTCTTTCTGACTAAAAACTCCAGTATATATATATATATATAGTTGTTAAAGTGCCATCAAGTTGATTCCGATCCATAGTGACCCTGTACAGGGTTTCTAAGGAGCAGCTGATGAGCTTGCCGACTTTGCAGTTCAAACAGCTTTGCAGTTGAGCCACTAACCCACAGCGCCACACCAGGACATATATAATTTGGGGTTTTGTTCTAAATTTTCAACCATTCTACCCAAGAGCTTCTAATGTGACCCCTTTTCAGAGCAGGCACCATCTAGTTCTTCTGGTCTCAGAGTCATGCAGCCTGATGTCCACACGTTTCATTAGTTCCCTGGACTAATTGATCTCAAACATCTTCAATTATTTTCATGAGTCTGTATTTTAAGCCCATTACATGTGATCTTTTACATTACTTGAATTTTAACTGCTTTCTAAAGCCATGGTTGGTTCCGTTTCAATAGGTAAAGAGATGAGCTAGGAAACATCAAGAATTATCAGAAATGAATGTGAAAATGTGATTGCAAGTTGCCTTCCAGTATTCATTTCTTCTGGTACAATTTCTCATTTGGCACACTTCTACCATAATAAGGTCTACATTTCCAAGATTTCCTTTCAACTAGCTGTGGTTAAAATTCTTGTGTGAGATTTGAAAAAAATATCTTAAAAGGAAGATGTGTCATCTTTCTTCTCCCTTCCTGCTTCCTTGAACTTAAATGTGATGGCTGGGGCACAATCAGCCATGTGGGACATGAGGTGAGGTAAACAAAAACAAAAACTATGAGCTGAGTATGTGAAAGTACATAGAAAATTAGATGCGTGATGACATTGTGATGCTGTTGTTGTTAGGTGACATCAAGTAAGTTCCAACTCATATTCACCATCAAGTGAATTCTGACTCATATTCACACAACAGAATGAAACACTGCCCCATCCTGTGCCATCCTCACAATCATTGCCATGCTTGAGCCCATTGCTGCTGCCACAGTGCCAATCCATCTCATTGGGAGTTTTCCTCTTTTTCACTTTACCAAGCATGATGTCTTTCTCCAGGGACTGGTGCCTCCTGACAATATACCCAAAGTATGAGAGATGAAGTCTCAACATGCTGACTTCTAAGGAGCATACTTCTTCCAACACAGATTTGTTGGTTCTTCAGGCAGTCTGTGATACTCTCAATTGTTGTTGTTGTTGTCAGGTGCCATTGAGTTGGAACCGACTCATAGAGACCCTATGCAGAACAGAACAAAACAATGTCCGATCCTGGGCCAACCTCACTACCGCTGCCACACTTGACACCATCAATGATGCCACCTGGCCAATCCATCTTGTTAGGGGTCTTCCTCTTTTTCTCTGATCCTCCATCCCACCCAGCATGACATCCTTCTCCAGCGACTGTTTCCTCTGGACAATATGTCCAAAGAATGAGAGACGAAGCTTAGCCATCCTGGCCTCCAAGGAGCACTCTGGCTGCACTTCTTCCAAAACAGATCTATTGGTTCTTTTGGCAGTCCATGGCACTTTCAGTATTCTCCTCCAACACCACACTCAAAGGCATCAATTCTTCTACGATCTTCTTTATTCACTGTCCAACTTTCGCATCCATATAAGGCTATTGAAAACACCATGGCTTGGGTCAGGCTCACCATAGTCCTCAAGCTGACATCTCTGCTCTTCAATACTTTAAAAAGTTCCTGTGCAGCAGATTTGCCCAGTGCAATACATCGTCTGATATCTTGACTGCTGCTTCCACGAGTGTTGATAGTTGATCCAAGAAGAATGAAGTCCTTGACAACTTCAATCTTTTCTCCATTGATAAGAATGTTGTTTATTGGTCCAGTGGTGAGGATTTCTGTTTTCTTGACATTGAGATGTAATCAAAGGCTGTGCTCTTTGATCTTCATAAGTAAATGTTTCAAGTCCTTTTCACTTTCAGCGATCAAGGTTATATCATCTGCATATCGCAGGTTGTTAATGAGTCTTCCTATTGATACTCTCAGTAGTCTTCTCTAATACCATAACTCAAATGCACCAATTCTTCTACTGTCTTCATTGTTCATTGTCTAACTTTCATGTACATACGAGGTTATTGAAAATATCATGGCTTGGATCAGGGGCACCTTTATCCTCAAACTGACGCCTTGCTTGTGAGCACTTTAAAGAGGTCTTGTGCAGCAGATTTGCCTAAAGCAATATATCATTTAATTCCTTGACTGCTGCGTTCACAAGTGTTAATAGTGGATCCAAGCAAAATTAAGCACTTCACAAATTCAATCTTTTTCTCCAGTATCATGATGTTATCCATTGGTCCAGTTGTGAGGATTTTTGTTTTATTCTCATTGAAGAGCAACCCTTACTGAAGGATGTGGACTTTGATCTTCATCAGAAATTACTTTAAGTGCTATTTGTTTTCAGCAAGCAAGGTTGTATCATCTACATATCGCAGGTTGTTAATGAGTCTTCCTCCAATCCTGATGCCACATTCTTCTTCATATAATGCAGTTTGTCAGATTTTTTGCACAGCATACAGATTAAATAAATATGGTGATAAAATACGACCCTGATGTACACCTTCCCTGATTGTAAACCATTCAGTGTCCCCTTGTTCTGTTTGAACAACTGCCTCTTGGTCTAGGTACACATTCTTCATGAGCACAATTAAGTGTTCTAGAATACCAATTCTTTACAATGTTGTCCATAGCTTGTCATGATCCACACAGTCAAAAGCCTTTGCATAGTCAATAAAGCACAGGCAAACATCTTCCTGGTATTCTTTGCTTTCAGTCAAGATCCATCTGACATCAACAATGATATCCCTCATTCCATGACCTCATCTGAATCCAGCTTGAACCTCTGTCAGTTGCCTGTCAGTTGCAACTGTTTTAGAATTATCTTTAGAAAAATTTTATTTGTATGTGACATTAATAACATTATTAAATGATTTCACATTCTATTGGGTCACCTTTCTTTGGAATTAGGACAAATATGACTCTCTTTCAATCCATTGGCCAGATATTTCTTTTCCAAAATTTGTTGGCATAGATGAATGACTGCCTCCAATGCTGCATCCATACTTCAATTTGTATTCCATCAATTACCTGAACATTGTTCTTTGTCAATGCCTTCAGTGTACCTTGGACTCCTTCATTTAGTACTATTGGCTCTTGATCATATGCTACCTCTTGAAATGGTTTAACAAAGACCATTTCTTTTTTTATCAAAGACTATAGTCTTTCCATCTTCTTTTAATGCTTTGTGCATCAGTCAATATTTTGCCCATTGTTGTTGCTATTGTTAAGTTCTGTCAATTTGGTTCTGACTCATAGGGACCCTATAGAGGGTTTCTGAGGAGGAGCTGGTGAGTCTGAATCACTGACATTGCGATTCAAACTGACCTTACGGTCTGGTGCTTATCCTACAGTGCCACACCAGGACCCATAAAGTCCTTCAATGTTGCAAGTTCAGGCTTGAAGATTTTCTTCAGTTTTTCAGCTTGAGAAATGCTGAGAATATTCTTCTCTTCGAGTTTTCTAACTCCAGGACTTTGCACATTTCATTGTAATGCTTGACTTTGTATTTTTAGCTGCCCTGAAATTTTTCTTATCAGATCTTTTACCTCCTCATTTCTTCCATTTGGCTTAGCATCTTTATGTTGGAAAGCAAGTTTTACAGTCTCTTCCAACATCCATTTTGGTCTTTTCTTTCTTGTATCCTTAATGATCTTTTGCTTTCTTCCTG